TCTGGTCACTCCCATGATGGGCCCAGGGAACCTTGGTTAGAGACAGGGTTTAAGTCGTACAGATGGAGATATGGGTAGGGCAGGTGGATGCCAGTGTCTGTGGACTTGGGCCTCTGAAGCTTTTAGAGACTTCCATTTTACAGGTGAGGAAATGAGGTTCCTGCAAGCATTAAATGGAGGAAGCCAGGATTCAACTCAGACCTCTGGTTCCACAGGTGTGCTCTCCTCGTGGCCCTGTGCCACAGACAGGTTGCTGGCCATTCTGCTCTCCCCACACATGCCCAGCATTGGGGACTGATGAAGGGAGCCCAACCAGGCCCTGGCCAGCTTCCTTTCTTCAGAGCTGAGCCAGGAAGGAGTCTATGCTTAGTACGCTAGTGGCACAAGTGCCAAGTGGCCTGAGGCGCCAGCAGTCCAGGAGTGCAGCTTGACTGGCCCAAGGCTGCCGTCCACCCAGCAGAGAGCATTCGGTTAGCATTGATTGCTCAGAGAGGAGCATCTGGCCAGGCTAAGGGCAGGGGAGGGAGGGCTGTGGGCCAGAGAGATTGGCCACATAGCAGAGTAGCCTGCAATCTTCAGAGAGCCTCACCATGGGGGCATGGGGAAGCTAGCTAGCTAGCTGTAGGGACAGGCCTGCTTTGGGGCAAGAGAGGGCAGCCCCTTTGGTTCTAGTAGGTTGAAGTGACTCCTGATATCCTGAGGCCTGAAAAGGCCAGCTGGCAAGAATTTGTCTGAGGCTGCTCTGCCCACTCAAGGCGGCAGGGAACTGAAGCTAGAGCCCTAACCTGGAGGCAGCTAGGCAGGGTCTGTCCCACTGCCTCCCTCCCCAGCTGTGGCCCATAACTGATGCTCTAGGTACTATATTTCCTCCTCTATGAATGATACTGCTCCCACAGGATTGTGAGAGCTTCAGGTAAAGAACCAAGCTACAGTTAGAGCAAGATCATTCTTGGTCAGTTCCCTTCCTACTTCCAGTGGCAGGAAGCTGCAGGGCCCCTACCACATTGACTGTCTGGCCTGGGTCTAGAGCACAGGTCTTGTCAATGCTAGTCTTACTACCAAGCTCTCTGGGCACCCCAGCCTGGGTTTCCCCAGCCCAGCTGAGCTGAAGTTGGAATCTCCTTAGAGGGGCTAGGGAAATATAAGGGCATACAGTCTATCTTTCCCACCTCAGTGCCTTTGCACATGCTGTTCTGACTGCCTTTGCCTTCCCACCCATCTTACCAGTTCTAGTCTCCACAGGACCATTCATAAGCACATTTGTTGAGGTGGCTAGCCATGCTCAGGCTGTTCACTCCTGCCCACAGGGTCCCAGCCTGGCAGGTGGAGTTTGGGGTTTGCAGACTGACCTGAGGGACACTGCCACCTCCCTTGCCTGCATGTTCTCTGTGCTGAGTGACAGGCTCAACTCCGAGCAGACTCCTCTCACAGGACTCCTCTCAGTCCAAGTTCACAGGTCAAATACTCCAGGAGGTTGAGGAACTGCCAGTGTCACACAGCGGACCAGTGACTGAATAATGTTGACAGGTGGTTCAGGGGTGGCAGAGGCCTTCCTGAGCCCCCTCCCTCAATTTCCCCTATGGTCCTGAGGCACCTACCCTGAGCATTCTGACCATAAGCCATAGGCTTATGACCAGACCCTCCCTACACTGGCACCTCCAACTCTCCCAGACTTCTGGACAAGTGTGAATGGAAGAAGGAATGGATGAGGCTGCAGAGCCAATGGGGAGCTCAGGCACGTGGGAGGATAGAGGTTTGGGAGCAGCAGAGCAGAGCACAGCAAAGAGCATCCCCTGGAGGAGAAGGCAAGGGGAGTCAGCCCTCTCTCTTCAGCCCCCTCAGGCAGAAGGACATCAGGAGGGACCTAGGAACCTTCCACTGAAACTTGGGTTCCTGCTCATTTGCAGTCTTAAAATGCACAGCAAAGGCTCCAGGTTCATTGTTAGTACATTCATCAGGTAATCAGTAGGGCGGGGCTCCCAAGGGCCTCTTGGAGGGTGCACAGGAGGAGCCATGGTGATACAGTGTCTGTCTGCCTGGAAAGAAATCTGCAGAGTGACAGTCCCAGGTCTCGCACCTGCTGGCTCAAGCATGGGTAGCGAGGGTAGGGGGTTGGGGGGAGGTCTTGCCAGCAGTGGGCAGGGCTGGCTGGGGCAGCTAGTCCAAGGTCTTAGAGTAGTACCACTGGCTTTCAGGGCATAGAAGCAAACTTGGCTGAACCCTTCATTCCCCATTAGAAGGAATGGGAGTTCTGGAAGGTTAGCCTCCCTGACATGGGCCCTGGCATATAGGCAATACTAAATACTAAATACAGGGATCATCTGTCTTGGGCCTGGATCTCATTAGTCTGCTTCCAGAAGAGCCCTTCGCTGTGTAGGAAGTGACTTCCCCATATGGTCCTTGTGGCCTGGTTGCCCTAGACGCCATAGTGATAGTCTGTTCTTCCTTGAGGTAACAGGGAATCTGAGCCTTGTCCTGTACTAGGTTTTGGCTAGGGTCTTTTGTCTTCCTGTGGACCCCCTGATCCCACCCACCCTCACCCTGCCCTGCCATCTGACCCCTTCCACTTGCCACCATGCATTCACAAGCTGGCTACTAGGCCTACACCTCAGGTTTGGGGAAGATTTTTGTTTTGTTTGCCTAATGGACTATGGGGCCTGGTTTCCCCTGTGCACTGGCATTGGCATCCCTGGAGTCCCCTGCTTTCTGTTTAAAGAAGTAGTCTCCCCATAGAACCCCCATGTTCTTCTGGGGTATACAGAGACAGAGCAGTTACAATGAGTAAGGGAGAGCTACCCAAACTCCACAGCACAGGGCAGATTGGTGGCTCAGAGGGGTGCAGGCAAAAGCACTCTGTAAACTCCAATGAGCTGTACAAATGTCGAGTGGTATTAGTGCTAAGCCTGCCACAGCCCCTGCCCCCTGCAGCTGCAGACTAGGGAAGAAAAGCTTTATCTTCACAGGACCTCCAGCAGAGCCTATACCATGTCAGCCTGGGATGTGGGGCAAACACTGGGAAGAGACTGGGTTTTCTCAGAGTGACTGGAGGAGATGGGGTTACTCTTGGGGAGGGTTCTGGCAAGTGGGGCCTTCCTGGAAGAAAGCAGTCTGAGTGACAGGGGTGCAAGCTGAGCGAGGAGATTAGAATGGGCCTAGTATGGGATGGGTCCTCTCAGTCTGGGTGTGGATGCTGAAGGCACAGGGCATGCTCCCTTACAGTCTGCTGGTACTTGGAACCCAGAGCCTCTCTTTCCCTTGCATCCTTCTGTGGAGCTGGAGCCCCTGGACAGATAGTGTTGGGCTGGAGGCCACTTCCAGGCCGCCAAGGATAAGGGCTAGCAGGCGAGCATCTCTTAGACATGTTCTGGAAAGGGAAACTGAGGCAGGGAACGCTAGGTGGCTCTAGCTTTAGCCTGGCCTACATGCTGTCTAGCTGAGTGGCAGAAGACACTGCAGAGGGCATGTAGAGCATGGCCCCACTCAGAAAGGGTCCTGTGCTGTGCCGTCACTGCCACCGGGGTCATAACTGCTCTGAAGTCACAACTGAACCCAATTATGCAAAAACTAAATTATGTGCGATGATTTTTATGTGCTGGAAACATTCAGCTGAGGCTGGGTGATTACAAGGGGATGGGAAGCAGCTGCCACTCTCTGGGAGCCCATAACTCCCAACAGCTGGGAGCCATCACTTACAAAGCCATTTCTGTCGGGAAGGAGGAGGTGGCAGTAGATAGAGGTGGAGACCTGCTTGACTGGGCAGCAGCAGTCTGGGACACCAGGCAGGCAGGCGGATAGCCCAAGAGTGTCCAGGACGGTGGCTTCTTTCATCCCACATGCCCTGGGCACAGCTGGCAGCAAAAAGTCTCAGCTCAGCTGCTCCAGGCTCCCTACTTCTCCTGAGAGTCCTGGCTGAACAAACCGGAAGAGGCAAGATGCCAACTAAGACAGGAGTGGCAGGGGCAACATGACTGCCTGGCCCTCTGTGGACCTGGAGCCTGTCCCTACCTCTTTGGCTCCTTGGCGCGCCTGGTGGGCCGCTTGGGGCAGCTGGGACCCTGGCAAAAGGCAGGTAATGACAATGGTCCATAATGAGGCTGCTTCAATAATGAGTGTGGGCTATTACCTGACCACAGGCTGGACACATCCGAAAATAAATTATTTTAAGGATCCATTAACGAATGCCTAATTAATGCCCAATTAGAGGGAAGCTACAGAGGAAATGCTCTGGACAGTCAAGAGGCAAGGCCTGGTTTTGCAGCCACAGCTTGGGAGCTCAGGCATGGTGGAGAGAGGCAGAAGGCCAGAAGGTAGATCAGAGCGGGGGCAGCCTCGATCTGGCAGTGTCATGGACCCCAGAGCAGTTCCATACGTCAGTCCTGGGGCCATCCACAGTCCCTCACAGAGACATGCCTTCTCTGTACACCTGCTCAGCTCTGTGAACTGTATTTTACAAATAAGGACACTGAGGCCAGGGGAAGGGGGTATATTTGACGTTTGGAACAGCATGAATGAGACATCTTTTCAGGTATGCTTTGGTGTCACAAACACAGTGTTTTGCTTGTTTTGAGGAATCACTTAAAGTGATTGCTCAGGACTCCAGATGGGATATTTCCTTTGTTAGAATCACTAACTGTAAAAGCAGCTAACAGTGAGCAAGTGGCGAAGCAGAGACCAGAGTTGGAGGCTGACAGGTTATGTCCATAGGTGTGTTCTCTCCCCAGCAGAAAGGCTGACAAAATCTGAAGGGGCCCATCCTTAGCTGTTTGGGGTAGGCCTTAGAAGCTTTGGGGGCAGAGCTAAGGAGATATACAGGTAATCAGGGCCTTTATCTCAAATTTACCTCCCAGCCTCCTAACCTAAGAGACCCCTGAATACAGTATAGGGGATAGAATCCCAGTAGGCCAGGAAAGTCATACACCAGTCCCCACCCCACCCTCTGTGCCCAATGTGTCTCCCACCTCCCTCAGCAGCCCCTGATAACTGTTCTCTCTTCCCACCAGGGTGCTGTGTGGAACTGCTGCTGTTGCTGCTGGCTGGGGAGCTACCCTTAGGTGGCAGCTGTCCACGGGACTGTGTATGCTACCCTGCACCCATGACAGTCAGCTGCCAGGCACATAACTTTGCTGCCATCCCCGAGGGCATCCCAGAGGACAGTGAGCGCATCTTCCTGCAGAACAACCGCATTACTCTCCTCCAGCAGGGCCACTTTAGCCCGACCATGGTCACCCTGTGGATCTACTCCAACAACATTACTTTCATCGACCCCAACACCTTTGAGGGGTTTGTGCACCTGGAGGAGCTAGACCTCGGTGACAACCGTCAGCTGCGAACACTGGCACCCGAGACCTTCCAGGGCCTAGTGAAACTTCATGCCCTCTACCTGTATAAGTGTGGGTTGAGCGCCCTGCCTGCAGGCATCTTTGGGGGCCTGCACAGTCTGCAGTACCTCTACCTGCAGGACAACCACATCGAGTACCTCCAGGATGATATCTTTGTGGACCTGGTCAACCTCAGTCACCTCTTTCTCCATGGCAACAAGCTGTGGAGTCTGGGCCAGGGCACCTTCCGGGGCCTGGTGAACTTGGACCGGCTTCTGCTGCATGAGAACCAGCTACAGTGGGTCCACCACAAGGCTTTCCACGACCTCCACAGGCTGACCACACTCTTTCTCTTCAACAACAGCCTCACAGAGCTTCAGGGTGACTGTCTGGCCCCCTTGGCAGCCTTGGAGTTCCTTCGCCTCAATGGAAACGCCTGGGACTGTGGCTGCCGGGCACGCTCCCTGTGGGAATGGCTTCGGAGGTTCCGTGGTTCCAGCTCCACTGTTCCCTGTGCATCCCCTGAGCTGCGGCAAGGCCAGGATCTGAAGCTACTGAGGGCTGAGGATTTCCGGAACTGCTCTGGACCAGCATCTCCACACCAGATCAAGTCGCACACGCTTACCACCACTGACAGGGCTGCCCGCAAAGAGCACCATCCATCCCACGGCACCGCCAGGGATAAGGGCCACCCACACAGCCATCTGCCTGGCTCAAGGCCAGGTTACAAGAAACCAGGCAAGAACTGCACCAGCCACAGGAATCGCAACCAGAGCTCTAAGACAAGCACTGGGAAACAGCCTCCTGAGCTTCAGGACTATGCCCCCAACTACCAGCATAAGTTCAGCTTTGACATCATGCCCACAGCACGACCCAAGAGAAAGGGCAAGTGTGCCCGCAGGACCCCCATCCGTGCCCCCAGTGGGGTGCAGCAGGCCTCCTCAGGCACTTCCTTGGGTGCCTCACTCCTGGCCTGGATACTAGGGCTGGCAGTCACTCTCCGTTGAGAACCCAGGGCACTATCACCCAGCACTGCCACGTGTCTAGCAAGAAACCGAATCTTCTTCTTCTTCTTTTTTTTTTAGCAAGTGGGAAAACTGCCTGGTTTCAGGAAAAAGCTTCCTAAGCCCTCCGCTGCTGTCTGGGCCCTACCTGGTGTGGATTAAAAAACCAACACGTACCCAGCACTGCCACGTGTCTAGCAAGAAACCGAATCTTCTTCTTCTTCTTCTTTTTTTTTTAAGCAAGTGGAAAATCTGCTGGGTTTCAGGAAAAGGCTTCTAAAGCCTTCAGCTGCTGTCTGGACCCTACCTGTTGTGGATTATAAATCCAAAGTGTACAGCCCCAAACAGGAGGGGTAGCACATCTCACCCAGCTGTCCTGGCTGAGCACCTATGGACAGTATCTACTCCAGCAGGGTGGTAAAAGGCACAAGAAGTGAACCCTTCATTAGCAGCCATGGAACACATGCCCCTCCTAGGAGCCCTTATTATTTGGAAAGGGCTGTAGGACCCCACCGTTCCTGGAAGAAGCAGAACTCAGAACAAACAAGGCTCACTCACAGCTGGCTGGGGCCAATCAGCCTTCTCAGAGCACTCTTGGCTCTTGCCTGAGGCCACTTAGTTAACCTGCCCAATCCAATGCCCTAGGCCACCTTCAGTCCCTCCCTGGGGAGTAATGCCTCGCATTCCTGATGTCTCAGGCAGCCCTGGCAGACCCTGCTGGGGTCCAAGAACCAATTACCAAAGGAGAGATCATCAGAGGCTGAAATTTAGAACTTCACTTAAAATGAGATTCTCACAGAAGGTGCAGTTTTATACCTATGTCCACTTATATATACACACACACTACACACACACAAACACATACATACACACACACGAAATGCAGAGGTCCCCTACCCTACTCCCTTACCAAGCTGTATGTCTTATCATGTTTATAAACTATACAGGAAAGTATATCTGCTGAACTAAGGATTGTATTGGTGATTTCTAGAAAGAAAAGCATTGTGGAATTTTTGTCCAGAATCCCAACTGGCAACAATCATCCCTGGGCTTGCCAGGGGTAAGGCATCAGTGGGAAGAGTTAGAAAGAAAGGCAATGAGAATCACTTCAGGGGACCAATATTCTTAGATACTTAGAACATCACCTTGTTTTTATATGCAACACATGCCAGTCTGGCACCCTGAAGCACCCCACCACCCCTACTGTTGAAGCTGTGGGTGTTAAGGTGAGAAATGGGAAATAGCTTATCAGGTGTCAGGAGACAGGTACTGGAGGCCAGCTGGATGGGGAAGGGGAAGGGGCTTTGGGGTTTTTAAGCCAGCAGGCGAGACAGCATCCACAGTGTTAATCCAAAGGGTTGGACAGTGTCATCCTCGCATTTTGCCAGTGATGATCTGTGCAGGCCAGGGAGGCTCTGAGCTCAGGCCTCAAGAGAAACTGAACTAAAAAAGTTTTAACTTGAAGCTCTTGGGCTCTTTGGTGAGTGACCTGATGTGAGGGCCCCATATAGCTTGGCAGTGGGGAGGCAGCCGGTGGCCTTAGCAGATGAGGGTGTTTCAGGAACCATCTCAGGCGTTCTATGTTACAGAGCCCCGTCTGTCCTGGCCCTTCTGGAGATACCCTGGGACAGGCAGAGGTCAGAGGGCCAGCCTCAGGGTTCAGAAGCCCGGACAGGCAGCATGCAGGGAGCAGAGCAGACAAGCGCAGTCAGGGGAGAGGGGCTGCTGACCAAAGGTCCCCAGCAAGCACAATCTCTTTTGCGCTTTGCACAAACCAGAGAGGGTGTGTGTGAGGAATGAGAAATGCTGAATCCAATTAAGAGAGAAAAATAATAATAAAAAAATCTCTTGGACAAGAACCCTGTTTTTCATTTCCTAACCCCGCATTCCTGATGGGGTGGCAGATCCTGGGCTTTGGTGGGGTAGGCGAGGCTGGCCAAGGCTTGGCTCAGAGAACATAGCATGCTTGTTGGCAAGAGGATCCATAGGGGGTAGGGGCACACTGACTCACAGGAACACACAAGAGCATGCACATACTCGCACGCACATACACACTTGTTCTCTGTTCCATGGCTCTTCCCTCGCCCACACAGAACATGATTCACTTCCCGCCTTCTGGCTGTGCAGGTCGGCACCATCTCAGTGTCTCCCCCAGAGCAGAAGGGTCCTGGATCCTTCTCAGCCTGTTCCCAAAAGCCACAGTTGAGTTCCTGACTCTCAGAGGTTGGGTGGTCTTCAAGAAAGGAACAGCCAGTCCTTGGGCTGCAAGCCCAAGGAATCTAGGGACTGACTGGAACAGCATAGGGCAAGGGCCTAGAGGCCACATCTGCCTCTCTGGTGTTACAGAAAAGATCTGTTCTGCAGAGTGGGGCTCTTTTTAGTACAAGATTCAGTACATTCATGAAAGAGATCCTGGTGCCACCAAGCCTGATGGTCTGCCTGCTTGCACCCAAGTATAGAGGCCTGTCTGTCCCTTAAAACGCAAGCAGGTTGTATGTTGTTGATTTAATTTCCAACCTCAGACAGCAAGGCCCTCGGTGGGAAAATCAAAAGTCTGAGCACTTTATTAAATTTTTGAAAAAGCCTTAGCAAGTCCTATATGGTGGAGCGAATGTCAGCAGGAGGAGCCCTAATGTTGGCTAAAGGCTTTGCCCCGTGCACCAGCAATCTCCTCGGCGGTCCTCCCAGGCCAGGGCACTGGGGCCCAGAGTGAGGGGTGTGTTTTTAGTAGCTTTCCCCCCAGGAGGTAGAAAGAACGAAGGCAGCTCTGTTGGGGATGACATCATTTGTCACTCAGCAGCTCATATGCAGTTAAAATGACACCATTGTCCCAAACATCAAAACAGGTTGATACTCAGAAGCTAAATGTCCCCCACCCCTATAGTCATTCAGGGCAGGGTGCTGTGGATTCCTGTGCTCCCCCAGGAGGTTGAGGTCACTCCCATCTGTTCTAGATGAAGAACAGAACAATCCTTCTGCCTTTTTTTTTTTTTTTTTGAGACAGGTCTCATATAACCTAGGCTGACCTGGAAATCACTATGTGGATAAGGCTGCCCTCAAACTCTTGATCTTCCTGCCTTTACCTCCCAAGTGCTGGTAGTCCAGGCATGTGCCATCACTCCTGGCTTCATGGGATTTTTAAAATATTTTTGGAGGTCTAGGGAGATAGATCAGTCAGGAAAGTCCTTGCTGTGCAAGCATGGGGACCTGAGTTCCAATCCCCAACACTCATGTAAAAAGGCTGTGCACAGCATACACCTATAATCCTGACACTGGGGAGGCAAAGACAGGATGCTCCTTGGGGTTTCCTCACCAGCCACATCTTTGACTTCTAGGTTCAGTGAGAGATCGTCTCTCAAAAAATTAGGTGGAGGGCTGGCGAGATGGCTCAGGGTAAGGACGCTTGCTATGCAAGCCTGGCTACCTGAATTCGATCCTCAGAACCCTTGTAAAGGTGACAGGAGAGAATGGAATTTACAAAGTTGTTCGACCTCTATGTGAGTGCTATAGTGCACCCTCATACATCACACACACACTAATAGTAGTAGTAGTAGTAATAATAATAATATGGAGAGCCACTGAGGAAGCCCTGATGCCAACGTTTGACCTCCACACATACCTGCATTGCACACACATGTACACACTCACATGAACACATCCATATGCACATATCCCGGACACAAAATTTTGGTAAGAGTATATTTTGCATGCTGCCCTTATTCCCACTATACCCCTGCCCTCTGCTGGCTTGCCCTTCCCATCCCCCATTGGTCCCCTTTGTCCCCCTTAGACAACTTTACATCTACTGTTATGTCATACACAATACATGATTTTATACAACTATATAAGATCTGAAAAATACAAACAAAAGAAAACATATGCTATTTGTCTTTTTGAGAGAGGCTTAATTCATTTAATATCATCTCTAGTTGTATCTCCGCTGGGGTTTTTGTGGGTTATATTTTGTTTTTTATTTTATTAGTTTGCTAGAGACAGGCAGTTGGCCTCACACTGGCTAGATTCCTGAGAATGACTGCTGAGTGCTGGGATTACAGGCATTTGCCACCACACCTGGGGAATCGAACTCAGGGCCCAAGCATGCTAGGTAAGCACTCTAGCACCTGAGCTACATCACCAGCCCCCTCTGCCATTTTTGCTCAATATTTTTTGGGAACCCAAGGAGAGATCATCTGTTCCCCTTACCTCACCTCCCACCAGGCAGCCTTCTATTCTACAGTGACAGGAGGACAGAACCAGCCCTACTGAGAACATGAGATGGCCCCTGGCGCTCTCAGGGTCTTCTGATATAAGCTTCTTCCATGACCTGAGAGCTTGGCTGGCTCTCTATTGTTCATTCAACAAACACTGGTCAAGAGCCTTTATGTACCAACCATTGTCTAGGGTGTGGGGACATGAGAGAAGACAGTCTGTATAAGGAGCTCAGAGCCTAGACATGGACATGAGTATTCTCAACTGATACAGAATTGGAGCCTGTGTTAGCATTCTGTCTCCCAAAAACAAGGCACTCAGCTGGAGTGGGGGAGTCAGAGAGGGCTTCCAGGAGGAGATGATGTTGCAATGGTCTCAGAAGATCTGGGAAAGAATGTGGGATGATTCCAGGCTGAGGGTTTGAGCTGCACATACTAGCTCCGCCTCTGGGCTCTAAAACAACCGTAAGATGAGGATGTGAGTGCTACTTGCTGGGGTGCTAGGAGTTCAGCCAGAAAGGCAGAGATCCAGGGGTTCCCACTCAGGGACTCTGACTCTGCTTGGAAGCTGAGGGAATATGTGGCTCTCCTGCCTGGGCTCTACTCCTCCCCCAGCTTCTCCATGAGCACATGGTCCCCCATGGCACCCTTGTTCCTCAACAGTGGGTTTCATCACTGCCACTTGACTCTTGTGCTCAGCCAGATCCTTCCTTGTGCCAGCAAACTGGAGCGCTTGCTGGAAATCTGCCTGGGCCACAGTCCCATTCCCAGACACCTGCTGCTTCCAAGCTCGGAATGTATCTCATACCATTTAGTCTCCACAGCCTGCACTCCTGGCTTCCCATTCCCATGGCCCCACCATCAGTCTGCCAAACACCACCTGCCCAGACACCCCAGCTCCAAGGAATTACCAGCAGGTCTTCTGAGGTGAATTCACCACCCCTCCTGTCCTGCTGGGCCTGTTCATGATCAGGGAGCCAAGAACCCCAGTGGCAAATGTTTGCCATCACCTAGCACTCCATGTTCAGTGGGCCTGAGAGCCTGGGAGCAGGGTCTGAGAAGTGTGAGAGCCTGGCGGCTTCACTGAAAACCAGGACAGGCTTGAGGATTTACTAGACATTGAGTTGGGAACTCTTAGCAGATACCTCTTTGGATTAGTACCACAACCCCACTGCCTCAGTTCAGAAGCCTCTAGGCTGTGAAGAACCCTGCCACAATGAACTTAGCTCCTCTTCCATGCTGACCTGGAGGAAGCCAGCCTTTCTTTTTTTAAAAAAATTATTATTAGTGGCCGGGCGTGGTAGCACACGCCTTTGATCCCAGCACTCGGGAGGCAGCTGCAGGCGTATCTCTGTAAGTTCGAGGCCAGCCTGGTCTACTTAGTGAGCTCCAGGACAGCTGGGGCTACAGGGAGACCCTGTCTCAAAAAGACCAAAAAAAAAAATTTATTATTAGTATTATTATGAAGTATTATCATCATCATCATCATTGAGTGTATATGTGTGTCTGTGCATGTGCAAGACAGGTAGGGGAGTTCTCATGTCACAGCATGCATACAGGGATCAGAGAACAACTCTGTAGACTAGGTTTCCTCCTTCCACCTTCATGTGGGTTCCAGGGTTTGCATGACATGCATCTTTATTCGCTGAGCCATCTGCCTTTTTCCTTATTTATTTATTTATTTAGTTAGTTATTTACTCATTTTTAGCAGCAGGGTCTCATGTAGCCCAGACTGGCCTTGAACTCCTGATCCTCTGCCTCCACCTCCTGAGTGCTGGAATTATAAGGGTACTCCACCATACCTTGCTTAATTTTATTTAATTAATTTACTTATTTTTGAGACAGGGTCTCACATGTAGCCCAGACTGACCTTGAACTCCTGATCCTTCCACCTCCACCTCTTGGTATTAGGATTACAGGTCTGCATTACACATATAGCGTATCTGTATGGCTCTTTCTTATTTCTTTCATTTTCCTTCCTTTTTCCTTTCCTCTTCCCCCTTATTATTAATTTGTTGTTGTTGTTGTTCTTGTTCTTGTTCTTGTTTTGATACAAGGTCTTCTTATGCAGCCCAGACTGGGCTTATACTCATGGTGATCCTTCTGCCTC